AATTAATCCTCATCAACCCCCCTGTGAAGGAGGTGACAATTATTATCTCTGCCTCACAGATGTTAAATTGATTTGCAAAGAGGTCAAGTGGCTTGGGGGGAAGGGGGGGGAGCCTCCAGAAGGCCACATGGAGAAGAACATCAGTGGGTTAAACCCACAAACTGGGCTGATGGAGAAGACAGAGCTGGTAATCTTAGCGGGGAGATGGAGAGATATGGGGGCAGCAACGGATGTGGGACCTGCAGAGATGCTTCCTATGAGAACAGCAACGCACGGATACAAAGCCAACAACTAGGACAGTGCGGGAGAGAGCGTGGGAGACCTTCAGTCCTCCACAACAGCTCTGCTACAAAAGGAAAAGATGCTTTGATGGACGGATAGCGATTAGCAACAAAGGGAGACGGGAAGGAACGCATCAGTCACCGGAGCTGAAAGCGCGGGCGAAGCGAGGGAGGATTTCCATTTCGTACCGCTGGTTTCCTCCCCTCCACCCATTTGGGGAGGCTCTCCCAGGTCTCCACACGCCTTTCAGAAGGTATTATCTAAACCTGCTCTTGCTTCTAGAAAGAAAAGCTGTTCTCATGGAAAAAAAAGGTGTGGATGCACCTGAAAAACCCATGCCAGAAGCTGTGGTTTCTGCTGGGATTCATCCTATGAAGCATGCGACCAACTTCTAAACTGAGTCACCAAAGAGCCCTGTGCGAATCCCTCTGCACCTTCTCACCCCATTGTGGCTTTGGCAGTGCAGGGGACAGACTTGGCCCTATGGGCCCCCCCCCAGCTCTGTTAGTGATGTCCAAGTTTTTTGGTAGAGGGTGGTTGGGAAGGTTCTAAGCATCCCCAGGAAAAACCAGGCACAAGCAATGCATTCCCACCAAGCTTGCTTTCCCTACAAGCCACCTTGAGGCCTTTGGACAAGAGTGATGGTGACTGCAGGGATTGATCCTTCCTCCCAGCCTCCTTCCACTCTGCAAGGCAGGCAATTCCCATGCACCCCAATGCAAGGCAGGATAGAACCATCAAAAAGTTCTCCTCATTCTCTCCTGAGTAAAAGGGCTTTATGCATCAAAGGAAAATTAATTGGGCAGCATTTGGGGTTTGAAACAAAGCCCCACCGGTGGCTTTATCTCACCAGCACACACCTTGGCAGTGATGCTCCCAGGGTGGCTTTGTCATGGGGTGAGGTGCCACCAGCATTGGAGTGTCACCCCACACCTTCACTCACAGCCCCCTTACTTCAGCAGCAGGTAATTAACTCCCTAATAAAGGCAGGGATTTCCAGCTTAACCCCAGGTCTGAGAAAGAATGGGAAACCTCATTTACCCCCAACAAAAGGGGAGGGGTGATTAGTAGCTCCAGTGACAACAGCAAGAGCCAGATAGGGCGAGGGGAACTGATAAAGCAGCAGAAAGCGCTAATACCCCTCAATCGCCAGCCTTTTCTTTCCCCTCCTTCTTTCTTTCTTTGGAAGCACTAAAATTCCACCATTTTCTATCATGCAAATTTGTGTGCCTAAGTGAGATTAAACTCTGGCAGTACTGTGCCTCCTTCCCCAAGTCCATTTCCCGTGCGGAGATAAGGCCAACTTCCCTTAATGCATCTTACAAGGCAGTGGGAGTTTTGAAGGCGCGCACTGGAGACGGCTTATTATCAATACAAATAAGGGCTTTCCAGATACTGTCCTTCTCCTCCTCCCTCCCCTCTCTCTTTTAAACCCAGGAACCCAGAGAACAGCTTCAATAGCAGAAGTGTCATGCAAGGAGCAAGAAGGGGGAGGCTGTGCCTGAGATGCTGCTGCAGAGGCAAGAAGCAGAACGAGGATGGGATACAGGAGAGGAGAGGAAGGGAAAGCATCACTTCTCAGAGGTCAATGGGGCCTGAGTGTTCTTTCTCACTGTGGGTTTCTGCCTCCCTCCCAAAGCTTGCCTGCAGTGAATGGGGCTTCCCTTGATTTTGTCCCTTTGGGATTTTTCACCCCCAAACCTCTCACTCTTCCCAGGGTCCAAGGCAAACACAGGCAGTGCTGCTTCCCTGAGCTTTGTCCGGCCTTATGGCAACTCCTCTTAAGAAGAAATGAGTGCTGAGCAAGCAGGACAGGCAGAGACCAGCTTCTAGACACACGGACATCCATTGAGCTGTTCATTGTAGTCTGAGAGCTCCATGTGCTAAGAACCTCCTTGGACCTTTCGCAGCTCTGTTGTTGGCTTGCATCAACTTGGCTTTACCAACACTGAGCCTGACCCCATTTAAAGCAGTCCTCAAAATAGCAAGCCTGAACTTTGATGCATTCAATGCCAAGAGACTGTTGTCTTGTTCCTGGGGCTCATTTGTCCCATCCTGGCACAGGAGCAGCAGGAAGGAGAGAAGCACCAACATGCTATTCCTGGAAGCAGTCACCTTTTGCCTTCTGTAGAGGATTTTAAGACTGACGAGTGTTTCTGAAAGCCTGACCGACGAGGAAAGGTGGGAGAAATGCGGCTTGGATCCTTTCAGGGAGAAGGTGGCAACACGATAACAACCTTCCCAAAAGCTAAAGGTTGTTACAAAGAGGACACTGATCAATTGTTCTCCGCGTGCTCTGGGGATAGGCTGAGACAAACTCCACTTGCAACAAAGAAGGTTGAAGTTGGATATTAGCTATACATTTTCTAATTATAAAGGTAGTGAAGCAATAGAATAGATCGTCAAGGGAGGCTGAAGAACCTGCTTTGTTAAAGAGTTTCAAGAATAGCTTTCACATGTGTTTGCCAGCGATGGCTCAGCCTTGTTGCAGAGGGATGGGCTAAATTAGCTCTTGAGGTGCCTTCTACCCACCTATTTTGGGCTCTCAGCCATCAATACAGTCAACCTAGAAATGAATGTGCGGCACTCCCCTTGCTGCAGCGTGGACATTCTGATTTCCTGGTGGTTTCTAGCTTATTCCCTCCCTCTGCCTTGGAGCACCATCCCCAACCCTCATACTCTAAAGGAAGCTCCTTCTCTCACCTCTATCCCTCTTCTAGTTTTTGCTCTTTCCCCCTAAAGCACCCCTTCCTCCAGCAGCCCTTGGTGGACATGAACCCCACCTTCTAAATCCCTCCATCTATGGCTGTTTTGAAGTGATATTCCTTAAACCTGGGGAGAAGGAGGGATGCACAGCATGGGATGAGGGCTCCTGGACCCTGGCTGATACGCACCCATCAGGCCTGCCTGGGGGAGCATCAGGCTGCTGAAACCCTGGCTGGAAGGGGAAGAGCACCTTGTTTGGAGAGCACAGCCTGCCCCAGGGCATGATTTAATTGCATCCTGAGAGGCTGTAGTGCTCCTGTGTGCCCCCAGGCCCTTTCCTGGTGCAGCAAGGGGAAAGTGAGGGCAGGGTTATACCACATTGCTTATTCATTGGGTCCATTTTCCAAAGGAGGAGAGTTAATCCTGGTACCCTAGCCAAATACTTATTAAGGTCATTAAGGCTTCCCTTTACTTAGACACAATATTCCCCTTCATGTCCTGCTCTGCCACTTTCCACGCAAGAAAGGGTTTGTTGAGCCAAGCTTTTGGAATTAGTATTTCTGTAAGGATGTACAGTATGGACAGTACTGAGCCCATCACTGCATCCTACTGAAGTGCACTGCAGCAAGGAGTTAAGAAACAACCTTTTCCTCTAGTACCCAAACGTCTTTTCCTAACGATACAGCAAGACAGAGGAGCGATGGGCCTGGATGTCTGGTGATACGGGGAAATTTAGGAAACAGGAATCAGAACAGAACAGATAGAAATTGTCCTGCATCGCCCCAGCATCTGATAGTGACTTCAGAACTTGCGGGTGATCGACTCTGGCTTAAGAAACTCAGGCAGGTAATAACAGATTGCAAGATAAAGAGCAAGGAACTGGGCTGGCGATGAATCCACTTCCCTCCATGGTTAATGGAGATGGAGAAAGTCTGGCTCTGTTTAGTTTGCTTGATTGCTCCAAGAGGAAAGAGAAAACAGAAAGGGGGAGGCGTGGGGGGGGGGAATAAAGGCCCTGGTTTTGGGTTTTCCCCCCCGCTTCTATTCATTAGGCTGCCAATAATGCTTGGGCCTGGCGTATTGATGGTGGTTGAGCTCAACCTGACTCTGCATACAAGACCAATGGCTTTTTAACCCAGCTTGTTTCCAAATCAATACAGCCATCAGCATTCGAAAATTAGCCCCAGACGAGATTCCAATACTCAAGCTGGTGTCTCATGCTAAGAGTGCTCCTGCTCAGGGCACAGAGGAAATAGGAAGGAAAAAGAGCTTGCTAGCAAGGGATTAGAAACTTGCCATTAATCTTCCTCAAGGCAGCACATTGCAGCCCGTATGTCCCACCACGTGGGCTCCTCCTTTCCCAGTGTCCTGCAGCACAGGCACGGGATGGATGTGGCATGAACACTCATTTACTTGATCATCATGTGTGCCCACACATGTAGGTCCCCTCTTAAGAGGCCATGTACCTTGTATGCTTGCCAAAGAAAGCATATACATACATTGTGCACCCTCATCGATGCGCACTCAGGGACCAGCACCAGCAGGATGCTGCAGGAGCTCTGCCACCCCATGCCAACCTTACTCCTCCTCCTCCTCCTCCTCAGAAGTACAATTTCAACACACAAACACATATTGTTGCTAGGCTTAAACACACCCCCACAGAGTACACAAATCTGCCAGCTCGCTCTATTCCCTCAACACAAGTTTTACTTCAAGCGTTGCCTCCAGCATGGAAAACAAACACAACCCAACATCAAATCACAACAACCAGCATCATGGGTTTGCCAGTGACTACTTCAGGAGGCAAAGCTGTATCAGCCCTTCGTGACTACTCGAGGAAAACTGGCTAAATGCATCACCCAGCTTCACTGGGGCTCTCCAAGCCTCTGCATTTGCACCAGGTTGTCTTAAAAGCTAAAAGTAGGAGCAATGGGAGAAGAATACACCAGGGCAAAAAGGAAGAACAGGAATCAAAGCAAGCCCAACCCTTTTATGAACTCCTTTCCTCTTACCTTGCACGATGAGATGGACGCGCGATGTCTTGGGGTGATTGTCTGTCTGCACAGAGCAGGTGTATGGGCCTTCATCATAGACATCCACATCTTGGATCTGGATGCTGTACTGGGTTTTGGTGTTGGCCAAGAGCACCACCCGAGGGTCCAAGCACCACTTGTCATTGCCGGCATAGAGGATGCTGCTGCGGTTCAGCCAGGCCACTCGGGTGACTCGGTTGTCCACGGAGCACCTGGGGAGAACAAAGAGGTGACTTGTCAGTGAGCTGCTCTTGGATGCTCTGTCCTCCCTTCCCCAGCCCGTTCCTGGTCCTTTGGGCACTATATTTAGCTTTGCTGCCAGCATCAGTTTCAGAGACCAAGTGCTTTCAGTGTCCAAAGAGGACAATGTTGGCACTTTACCTGCTCAGAGCACCAACATCCATCTAAACTGGTGGCTCCAGAGATTTGCCCAAGAGCTTCACAATGATTTCAGACAGAAAGAGGTCAGAGCCACGCAGTACCCGCCACCAACAGACTCCTCTGTTCCCATTTGCTCCTTTGCAAACTCAGAGACAAGCTAAAACCTCCATCCTGAGCCCAAACCATGCTTCTGGGGGGACGCAGCTTGGTTCCTCCTGCCCAAACCCATCACTTGTCATTCTCTTAGGCCCTCATATCCCTGTGGCAGGCAAAGAAATGTGAAGTGAAGCCAGGAAAGCAGCTCAGGCTGCTTCACAAAGGAGCAAGGAAAATTTATTTGAGGAGGAAGCCAGCTCTATCACATCTCCAAACAGGAAGCTTTTGCTTCCTACCACTTCTCCCTCTGTCAGCTCTTCCTTCCCTACCCGTCATCTGCATCACTGCATCTCCCTCACTTACTGCACCTTACCCCAGCTAAACATTTCCCCTGTCAAGTGATGCTTTGGAGGTGGAAATCTATCCAGCTTTATTAAACAACTGAGTCTACACCACAGTGCAAACCAAGATGATTCTTTGCTCCTGAAGGAGATTATTAATGCCCACATTAGCAGCGGCCACTCTTGTTCCTCCTGAAGGTCTCCACTAGCTTGTAACCCTCCATCCTCACGTCCCCAAGCAAGGTTTGAATCCTCTATGTCCACAAATCATCTCCAGATGAGTGAGCAGCAGAAGCCCTGCAGCCTTTCTGCTGGCCCAGCACGGAAGCTGCAGCCCCCCCCCAAACCAGTCAAATCCCTGCTTCTCATGGAGCAGGTTTTGGATTATGGAGCCATTAGGATTTAGCAGCTCTTTACTGGATGCAACAACGGAGGATAATGTCCCTGCATAAAACCACTCAGCCTAAGATCCACTGTTTATATTCTCCCCAATCTACTTCATTACTTGTGCAGTAGCTTGGATGCAAATTAACTTCAGAGACACCAAAAAAGAGCACAGCAGCTTCTGTGAGGTCTCATACGGGGTAACCTCAATGAATACAAGAGGCTTAATGGGCTCTTCCTGCCAGGCTGTGGTAGGTCAAGCTGTCTCATCTCACCCAGCTTCTTTATGGAGCCTCTTTGGCCCCAGAATGACAGAAGAAGCTTAAATAACCCACCCAGTCTCCACACACAACAGAGAAAGAATCAACTTGGCTGGAAAAGACCTTCAAGATCATCAAGTCGAACCATCCTCCAGCACTGCCAAGGCCTCCACCAACCCATATCACTAAGGGCCTCATCTACACGGTTTGGGAACACTTCCAGGAATGGTGATTCCACTACTTCCTTAGGAAGCCTGTTCCTTTTGGAGGTTAGGGATAATGGGTCCCCGTGCGGTGATGTCTGCAAGGTGAGAAGGGTGGTCTGAAGCCCAGGACTCGCCTGCTGATCTGTTAGGCAAGTACCCAAGTTACTGCACCGTCCTCCTCCCTCTCCGGTGTGAAAAACATCTGAGATATTAAACAATTTTACTGCTGTTCCATAATGATATTACGATAATAATAAATTACATGTGAGCAGATTTTTATTATCTACATAAAAAGAGGCAATAGATTCAGCCTGGGCTGAACACCAAGAACTTGGCTCTGGTTTTCAGCTCTGCTACAATTGGAACAAAATCTTGAGAGTTCGCTTGCTCAAGTTGAGCAAAACTTGAGGTTTCATCCCAAAGGGTGGTTACTGCATCTTGTACTCTGAACCTCAACTCTGCTGGGAACTCAAACCTGCTGGGCTCAGCTTAATGCAGTGGATATTTGGTGCTGGGCTCATTGCAAGGCCATGAAATAAGCTCCTGTGGTGACAGCAAGCAACATTTTCTGTGAAATGCATCAGTTTGGAGATCCCTGGATAATAATGGAGCCAGACAGTGTGCAATCCAAGCATTCCCTCTATCATATGAGCATTTTAAGTGCTTTTGAAAAGCAACAGGGCTGAGGTAACGCATGAGGCAACAGTGAAATAAGTGCTTTTGCCCTTCACAGCACCCGGTCACAATCTCTTCTTATCACCCAGACACGCTTGTCTGTCCCTGGGATGGGCAAACTTGACGTTGTTATTGTATTTTCTTCCCTCTTTTCAAGCTCCTGAGCTAAAATATATATAATAAAGCACAGAAAGAGCTCCTGGGGAAGACACACTTTGACCTCTGGGTTTGATGTGCTGTTTAGAAGGTGGTGGGTTGTGCTTCTGCCCAGGCTCCTTCCAACCATTGCGCTAAACCCTCCTCCTCCTCGCCTACGTGCCGGATGGGATCCCCGAGGCTGAGGCTTGCCGCAGCGACCTGATGCTCTTCCAGCCCTTCCATCTGCTCCCCATTCCCTCCTCCAGCAGCTCCCCTCTCCAGAAGCCGGGATGGGAAGCTCTCCTCTCCTGTACACAGGCAGCCGAGCGGAAAACCTTTGGCTTTGGATGGGAAGCTGGGCTCCAAGCACAGGTGGAGAGCAAAGCCACTACCAAGCCTGCAGCCTCCCCCCTGCCCACCCTGTTCCTGGCAAGGATCAAAGCCCTGAGATGCTTCCTCCACCTCACTGGAGGCTCTCTCCCCATAATGTGCCAAGGAGGGAGGGGAGCGAGAGGTCCTTGGGGTGCCAGAAAGCAGCTCCTGCTTCCAAAAAGATGATGTAAAAACAATTAAGCACAGATGAGGTAATTTTCTCCCTCAAGATCCTTAATCCTTGTTATGTTCCTGCTCAGACGGCAAGGCCTTCTCCTCCAGGAGGGTGAAAAACTGCTTCCTGTCAGCACAAGGAGGAGATGATGCTGTTCTCCCTCTCTCTGCTGTTTCTCTCCTGCTAAACCAAACCCTTCTGGAGATGCTGCTAACACGCAACTCCTGCATCAGGTAGTAATGGTTTCCAGAGAGATGTAGCTCCTAATGCTACATCAGACCATCTGCTCCCTGCTGCCACTCAAACAACCACAAAGGACAGAGTTTGAGCATTTTAAGACAGTTTCATGCAGCGAGCAAAGGTGAGACTTGTGAGCATGCATCTTCCCTACCTGTCCCAACATCTCCAGTAGCCAAAGCTTCTTGGGTTTGCTACCTGCCCTCAACAAGCAAGCCAGTCCTTTAGGGACTGGCTGCTCTTCCCCACAGCCAAAGTTCTCATGCCTGTACCCTCCTCATCCCATGCAAAGGGCCCATGGGTGCAGTCAACATCCAGCCTCGCTGCAGGGACACCAGTCAAAGACAGAAACGGGATTAGGGAAAACACCACCATCAGGTTTCTGCCCAACTTAGGTAACGCAAGCACAAAGACGAACAGGGCTATAAATGCCAACAGAGCCCTCAGTGGGGATAAAGTAAGGAGGAGCAGGATGCTTTAAAGACACAGATCTGCTCCCAAGGAGCCCACCACCAAACTGCAGCCACCACTATTGAGTATCAGGAATGAACTAGGAACAGGGTGCCACAACTGGGCTCCCTGATGGCTTCCCACAGGGACCTCCCTGTGTTTCTTGGCATGGACACACATGGCACACAGCAACGACAATGAAATCCTAAATCCCTCTCATTGCTTTCCTGAGTTTGCACACAGAAAATGACAGGAGAGGACGTGGCCCAGCAGTGGGAGGAAGGAGGTTTTTAATTACTCAAGTGTACTAATTGGCACGCAGCACTTTTTGGTTGCCTCTCAATGCAGATCGCTGGTGTTCCAGAGGGCTAGGCTGGAGAGCACAGATTGTCTCAACCCAGCAGGACACACAAGCCATGAATCATGTTAATTAGAACTGAAAAGAGCTCAGTGAAATCACCAACCTGATGGCTGCTTGCTTTGCACTTAGCAGGGTACAAGCTCCATCGTGGGAAGGCAGAGATGGGGCTAAGCCTGGCTTACCACATTCAACTTGGTGGCCCATCCAGGAGTTGTGACCAAGCTCGCTTCTCCTTCCACCACCACCTCACTCATTATGCCCCTCCCTCACCCCAAGAAACCAGCTTCCCAAATCCAAACTGATGGAATTTCACACGTGTTGCGCCACAGCATTGACCCATTATAAAACATCCTTAGATGTCTTTTCGTTTTCTTCCCAGACATTGGATTTTGAAGCAATCCCTTCTCCACCAGCAGCTTTTTGTCCCTGTTATAGGTTGGACCAAGCTGGAAATCCTCTTGAAATAACTCATTTGGGGTGCAAAAGCTCCCCAGATCTCTTTGCCTGTGGTTGGGCAAGGAGACAAGCTGCTCTGGCCTCAGCATCTCATGTCTCAGACATCACCTTCCAGCCTCTGCACCATCAGCTACGCTATAAATGATCAGCTAAACTAGACCGCTGCCAGAGGCAGGAGCTTCACAGCGCAGATTTATTTCTGTGATTATCACATTTTATTGTTATTTATTAGGATTAATTAAAGGCTGGGCTGTGAACAACTCAATCCCATTCAGGCACAGTCCCACTGCTCTCCTACTCTTTCCTATGATGTTTGTGCACTGGTGGCAATAGATGTTTGGCCATCAATTCCTAAGCAAAAGGAGAGTTAGGGTCAGATCGTCCCATGCTCCCTGGCACACATGCTGCCCACGATCCTGTATGGATGCATGGACAGCCCAAGGTGTGGCTATCATAGAGAAGCTTTGTTACTAGTAAATATTAAGCCAAACCTCTCATTAACACAACTCAATCTGGTTTCCCTCTCAATGCTTTTTGCTCTATTGAGTTAAGTCATGCACGAGCAATTTCTACCAGTCTAGGATTTACAGCATCTGCTCCTACAGACCGTGTGTGCTTGCAGCACCGTCTGCCACACACCCCCCAACATGCAATGCACATACTGAGGGCACACATGCTCA